TCAATTCACAGGTGAGTTTAAGCAACCAAAATTTTGAATTGACAATCTGCTATCGAGAATGGTGACTTGGCTTAACCGTCAGAATCAGGGATCTGACTTTCGCAAAGGATCTTGAGGGACGACTGCGTCCCTAGCAGTAAGCTAGATCAAACAAGACCTAGCCAACCATTTTGGGGATTCAAAAACGATATGTATATATATATATATACTGTGTATATATATACATATATATATATACTGTGTATATATATATATGATGATATCCCAAATCCGAACCATCTAAGCTCACCTAAGAATCTATGGTGCTCCCTCCATTCCTCTTCCAGCATCCCGGCGAATGTCCAGGGCTGTGGTCCAGGTAAAGGGCCTCAAGTGACGGTGACGGTGACCTGGGGATTTCACCCCTTTCATGGTGAAAATATGATGGAAAACCATGGAAAACCAATGAGATTTGGGGCTTTCCGGCTTTCCCCAAACCTTTTTGGACACACCCGTGTAGGTACCATTGGATATGTTTGGTGGTTTCAATGGTTTCAACTTATAACATGGAGGTATTCTGAGGTATTTTTTGGGGGGGACACCATAATCGGTATGTCACCGACAAAATTGGAGACAATCAACGAGTGCTTTGCGCTTTTCAAAACTCCATTGGAAAGTGGTGGTCGATTGCGGATCAATTTTTGGATGTCTTGCAGGTCATCCATACTGAAGCAGCAAGGCCCAGACCCAATGCTTTCCAGACGCTCTTGAGCTGCACCGACACACATCCTCGCAGCCTCAGGGCGCAGATCTGGATGTGCTTGAGCCAGTGCAAGATGTCGGTTACTTGGGTGTAAACATCATCAATTCCCCACCTGCCAGGTGAGGGTTGCTAGATTTCAACAGAGCTCTTCTCCTCCTCCGCCTCCTCCGCCTCCTCACCCGCTGCCTCCTCCTCGCAGTCCAGATCCCAGTGGGCACAGCCGGACCTCCACCGCGAGCTCCGGACCTCGAGTTGCAGATCGCAGTGGGCACTGCCGGACCTCAACCGCGACTTCCAGGTCGCAGTGGGCACTGCCGGACTTCAACCGCGAGCTCCAGATCCCAGTGGGCACTGCCGGACCTCAACCGCAAGCTCCAGATCCCAGTGGGCATTGCCGGACCTCAACCGCGACTTCCAGATCGCAGTGGGCACTGCCGGACCTCAACCGCGACTTCCAGATCGCAGTGGGCACTGCCGGACCTCAACGGGAAGAATGTCAGAAAAGATGTCAGATAGAATGTCAGAAGATATGCCAGATAGAATGCCAGAAAGAATGTCAGAAAGATTCAGAAAGAATTTCAGAAGATATGCCAGACAGAATGTCAGAAGATATGCCAGAAAGAATGTCAGAAGATATGTCAGATAGAATGTCAAAAGATATGCCAGATAGAATGCCAGAAGGTATGCCAGATAAAGTGCCAGAAGGTATGCCAGATAGAATGCCAGATAAAATGTCAGATAGAATGCCAGAAGATATGCCAGATAAAGTGCCAGAATGTTTGCCAGATAGAATGCCAGAAGATTTACCAGAAGATATGCCAGATAGAATGCCCGAAGATATGCCAGAACATATGCCAGAAGATATGCCAGGTAGAATGCCAGAAGATATGCCAGATAGAATGCCAGATAGAATGCCAGAAGATATGTCTGATAGAATGCCAGAAGATTTGCCAGTAACAAAATGTATAAATGTCATGGTGGGGATCACACGAAGTAAAGTAATTTGTTTTTTTTGGAGGGGGAAAATAAGCATGTTTGAAACCAGCAACATGATAGTATTGCAAGCATGTCATGTCTGATTCCCGGACTCTTGATTTAGCGATTTAGCTGAGGGATGAGGGAAGTACATCTTTCTCACCTCTGATCTGCTTGTGGCTTTATGCCTTGAAAAGCGCCCGGCTGAGCCGGGTGAGGCTTCCACAATCCCTGCCGAATCCTACCAGTTTGCGCGCCTTTTCTTCTAAATAACGTCCAGTTTGCGGAGCAATCACATACCTTCACTGGATGGGTGGATTTCCATGGATTTGGAGGAACATCTGCACGAAACCCATGCGTTTTAAGCCTTAAATTCGGGTTTTCCTGGAAGAAATCCAGAAACCACTTCGGGGACATGTCACGATACCCAATACCCTAACCACCATGTTTCTTCCCCCACGCTTGAATTGTTTCCATGACATGGGACGGTTGCAATGGGCCTGGTTGCATAGCGCAGTCTTCTAAGGATTCTGAGTCCCCAAATTTTACCCAGAACGGTGAATAAATCTTGAAATGATGTCACTATTCTCAGACTTTTCTCCTAACTTTTTTTTTCAAAGAATGAAAAAGACACATCTCCCAAGGCTCCAAGATCTCATCTTCCAACCTTCCCATCGCCGCAACGGGCGCACGTGGCAGGTCGCTGCAAAGTCTCCAATCTCCCCGGAAGGCTGGGCCCACCAGAGATGGGAGGACTTCGGCCGAAGCCGAAGACGCCGTCCTGGGAGAATCGCGACAGGTTGGAAGCACCGATGTTTTTGAATGGGAGATTTGAGAGCCACATTAGCTACATATAGCCACCAATATTTCATGATTTATAAATATATGTGTATATAATATATATGTAACTATATACAATGATATAAGAAGAAAACTAGCGAAAATAAATGGCAACATGAAGAGAATGAGTAGTTAGAACTCGGAAGGGATGGGGAGGAGTCTGATTTGGGGCTGGATCAAAACATATCAAAAGCCTGGGAACTGGTACTGGACACGTGTTGTCTCTCTTGCGATGCCCTAAGTTGAGATCTACAAAGCCTTCACTGATGACACCTGGAAAGCTGATCGTCTTGGTTGAAGGGACTAATTTGCAGGAAACGTGAACGTTGTGCAACATTTGATGGTAAAAGATCATGCTTTCCTAAAGTTGTTCTTTTCATGGAATTGGTTGGATAAAAATCTGCAGGGTCCCCTCCATTCTGATATGATAAGAAACACTTGGATTCCCGCTGAATATCCCATGAACTGATCCATTGATCCATTTATATCAAGCCGGTAAGAAATATGGTTTGCTTCAAAGTCCACTGGTTCGTCACTGGTTGTTCATCGTTTTCCCCCTTAAGCTTGGCAACGTTGGGGTAAATCTCCCGTTTCTGCACAAGCCATGAACATGTCTCAACAAATATCTTCATATTTCAGCTACCTAAATCTCCCTTTAAACTGGTGTTATCCGATGTTTGCTAGCCGCATGCTCAACCGAGGACGCGGCCCATTGGCGCTCGCGGCGCGCAGTAAGGTCTCCCTCTTCTGCCAAGATGAAAGGCGTCTCGGGCACCTGACCGCCCCGTTTGGAAGAATCCATCCATCATGGGAATACATATGGTAGCATATAGTCAATGTTGTAGACTGTGATGTTATGTGTATACACATGTGTATATGATATAGTATATGTCTATCTATTTGTGTGTATGTAAGTACGTATGTATGCATGCATGCATGCATGGATGGATGCATGGATGGATGGATGCATGATGATGCATGGATGGATGGATGCATGGATGGATGCATGGATGGATGCATGGATGGATACATGGATGGATGCATGGATGCATGGATGCATGGATGCATGCATGTCATGTCATATATACACAATATCATAATACTGTCTAGTCACCCAATAGAAGCCATGTATACATCATGTGCGGGTATACATAGAACTGAAGTAAGTGAAGGAATACCTGTTTCGGAGCTACCTTCTGTGTGGATGGTCATCCAAAACAGGGGTCATTTTTGGTGTATCGGTGCATCCTTGGATGGACTCGGCGAGATGTCTTGTACAATCTACCGCCCGATAATCAAACCTGGGCGGTAAGGAAATCCTTCATGGGAGATAATTAGCAAAAGGATATACTGATATCCTACGTACATATAATATATACATTATCTATCTATTATTACTACATATTGTTATGTATATATATATATCTTCCTACATTTGATATATATATATATACGTATATTACATACATGGGATGTTGTTCATTGCCATCTTTACCAGAGGGTGCACTATATGGTCAACAAATATATGTCGTATGAGGTCGCCTTAGCCACCGTAAATTCACCAGTGCCTGGGTTTCCTATGGCGGCTATATCCTCATTGATTTTTGCCAGTTCTACGACCCCTCAGGGGTTACTGATCTCAGTGTGGGTGAAACGGCCTCAGATGGTGTTTCACCATCCCGTACGTCGCGTGGTGCGGGGTCCCAGCAGCCCCAGTCCTCTAGTCACTCTAGTCATCACAGATTTCATTTCTTCAATGAGCCAACCCACACCTCATCCAGCAGCCTCCAGCCAGCCCTTGAATGATCCTTTGGATTTCCTACGGACCTGGCTTTCAAAAAAGCGGCGGATCGAGCATTCATCGATTCATCCATGCACCGCCAGCGGCCAAAAACTGTGCCCTTTGGGAACAGCAATGACGAGGGTATGGATCAAAATTGCATCTAAAACTGACCCAGCCATCTGCGTGTTCCGAATGGATTTCCGATCCACGCCCAAGCGACAAAAAACAGCCTCGCACCCGCGCCCCCGGTGGGCACTTGCCAGCCAGGGTCCAAATTGCAAGACAGTTACATAGAATCAGACATGCCTTGAGTTTCAAGGTGGACATGTGAGCCATGATAAAATGAGCATTGCTGTTTTCTGACCAAGGGGAACGTTTCACATCACACCTGCGAATTTCACCATGGCCCATGTCATCCTACACATCAGATGAAGCGATAGTGTAGAAGTTTTTGCAGCTTGGATTTCTGCAATCTGATCAGAGCATCTTCAGGCAGCAACCACAATCAACCCCACGGCTTCTCAAAAACCGTTCCCCTTGGGGGCGCAAAACTCCTACTTCTAGTGGGTTCTTGGGAATCACTAAAATATCTAAAATTCAACCTCGGAATTCAGAAAACAACCCAGATTGAATCTAATTGCGCCATATACATACTGAAATCTTCAGTGTTTGGTGAACTCAGAAATCCACCCAGCAAGTATTGCAACTTAAAATGTTACCTTAGTCGGTTCTTATTCGCCCTCCTCACCGACTTCTGGAGCGACTTATTCTGCGCCCGTAACCTCAGGATATGAAGTGACCAAACTTGGCAGAGTTTCATCCGCCGTGGGACTAAAAAAGTTGAACCATACAACACGTGGGTTTTGGTACCTGAAAATTTAGGGAAAAAACAAAAATTGATGGTGAATCAGTGAATAGTCATTTTCCCAGTCAACATAGCCATGTTCAAACATACCCAAGTGTTTTTGTCAACAATATCAAAATCGGCAAAGACATCACCTTCCCCACCAGGAATAGGGACCCGCATTGACCTTACATTCATTCCACAGTGACCGCAGATTGTGAAATTGGAAGCCCAAGAGAGATGGTCAACTTGAAAGAGAAAAGAACACCCAAATGTTCTCAAGTTGGAACACATTGAAAGCTCTTGAAGGGCCCAGTTGTCTTGGGGGATGTCATGTTCTAATTCGGGATGTCGAGTCCATCAGGGCCCAGTCAAGTTACACCTCTTCGGTGTCTTTGCGCACCATCATCCGGAACTGAAGTAAGTCCTGTGGCCACTGGTCAAAATTCAAGACACAGGGGACCACGGGTTCTCATCTGTATTTATATATAATATATATATATATGCAGATTAAAACCTACAGTATATATATATACACTGTTAATATTGATCATTGGGGATTTTGACCTGTAGCCGTTTGAAACTGGGACCGTCCCTGACTTGGGAAGTGGTTGCAGCATCAGACAGGAGTTCCAGGTGACTCGTCAAAGTGGCTGTGACAAGAAACAGGCTTTCCAGGGCACAACATGCCCTCTGGTAAACATACAAAAAGCTATTGAAAATGGCCATTTATAGTGGATTTACCCATTAAGAATGGTGATTTTACATCAAATGGCGGATCACTGATAACTTTGGGTTCAAGAACAAAATTTGGACGCCGGCTTAAAGGTACCCAAGTAATCGCAATAATATCACGTAATAAAATAATACTAATTAATAACAGATTATAATAATTGATAACAGGTCATAGTCATTAATAGCAATTAATAAGAAATGATAAGAATACATAATTACTAATAAAAATGGATAATGATAACAATATAACAAAAACGGTTTGATATCTCGCATCTAAGGGATTGACATGTAGGTATTCTACTCTCTGAATCCTCCATTAAGGTTGATCATCAATAGATCTAAAATAAATCTAACCAGGTCATTTCGGAGCACATCCCATTTTCAAACTAGTTTGTATATTAATGTACATACATTAATATACAACAGAAGGATCAATAAGATACATCCCAACAGTCTTTTCCCTGGGATTGCTTGTTGATGACACCCAGAAATCCTGCTGGATTATCCTGCTGAATCCGCTCGGTAAACCTAGGCCAACAAAACTAACATAGAGACTATGGAAAATCGATAATTTGTAGATCATTTCCTCCAGAAACCACGGAGATCTCCATGTCTATCTTAGTATCACTCAGGGAAGTGAACAAAAATTCAAATCTATAAATACTCCTTAACAATTTCAAAAAAAAACTTGTTTGGCAATATATATGAACAAAATATCGATTCAATATTCACTATATTTAATCAGACTTTGCCAATATTCTTCAATACCAATATTGATTCTATATTTACCATACTATACTGGTTGGTGGTTTCAACCCCTCTGAAAAATATTAGTCAGTTGGGGTTACTATTCCCAATATATGGACAAATAATAAAAAATAAACAAAAATATACAATGTTCCAAACCACCAACCAGTAGATATTTACGAATACCTCAGGATAATGTTCAAAGATTGATCGCAAAGATTGATCCGAGGTTTAGTGACCAAAGATGTGTCAATGATCGCATGTATCCTTATACATATACATATATACATACAGTAAAATAGTGTATACATATATAAGATTCATATATAGTCTATATATATATAGTCTATATATATGTTATGTAGTATATTTTATCATATATATATGTGGTGTGTATGTATGTATATATATATGTGGTATCTATGATGTCAAACAATTTTCCGAATCTACAAGCTCCCCAACAAACAGTTTGGCCTTGAGAGTAGCTGATGTTTAGAGGAAAGAAGTGTTTTCCAACCCAAACTCATGGCACGGTCGTCATCTTGGTTGGGGAGATGGCAACTCTTTTTTTATGTCAGGTTGTTTCTTCAATAAAATCTAACCTTTGCATATCTATGGTGAATATGTCAGATAATTGTAAGTCATTCTCCATGTCAAAATCATATCATCTAACATCAACCGAAACCAATATATATCAACACAAACTCCATATGGTATCGATGGTATCTAACATCGATCAATGTCTATCTGAATCTACCCTCTCGTAATAACCCACATAGCGAACTGGACAATGACCATGTTTAAGTTCGGTAAAGCATTTCTCACTAAATGGGCCATGGCCTGAATAGTAGCAAATTACCAGGAGGTACATTTGGTGTAATCCCAATGTGTGGTTCTTCAATCCCCAGTAATCACCGTGAAATCCCAGTGAATCCCAATGAAAATCAGCATGAAATCCATTGATATCACCATTGAACCACCATGAAAGGTGACGCCTTGATGGTCACTGAGTTGGTTCGTCGGAAGGCTTGGATCTGCGTCACGAACTCGCTCAGGTCCAAACGCCTCGCGTTTGGGGTGTCTATGGGAAAAATATCGACATGGAGAACATAAAAAATGGCACTAGAAATATGGGATACATATGTATGTATATATATATATAGCGATGTGTATATAGATCATGATATGTTTGTATCATTATGTATATATAATGATGTGTATACATATATATATACAGAACATGATATATATATATAATGATATATATATAATGATATATATATATATAATGATATATATATAAATAATGATATATATATAATGATATATATGTGTGTATAATGATGTATATATAATGATATATATAATGATATATATATATATAATGATATATATATATAATGATATATATATAAAGAAATATATATATAATGATATATATATAATGATATATATATAATGAAATATATATATAATGGTATATATATAATGAAATATATATATATAATGATATATATATATATATAATGATATATATAAATAATGATATATATGTATATATAAATAATGGTATATATATAATGATATATATATAATGATGTATATATAATGATGTATATAATGATAAATAAAATTATATATATATATACATTTAATGATATATATATGTAGAATGATATACATATCTAGTGATGTACATGCAATGATGTATATATATAATGAAATACAAATATAAAATGATGATATATATATATATATGATGATGATGATATATATATATAATGACGTATATATATAATGATGTATATATATAATGATGTATATATATAATGATGTCCATATATATATAATGATGTATATATAATGATATATATATATTTTTATAAATGTGATGAATATTTATATATAATATATAATGATGAATATATATAATGATATATATATATATAATATAATGATGAATATATTTAAAATGACATATATATCTATATATTTAATGAAATATGTAAAATGATATATATATATAATGATATATTAATATAATGATAAATATAATCATATATATAATAATATATAAATGATGATATATATATATATAAATATATAGCATCATATATATAATGATATAACTAATGATATGTATATATATATAATGATGTATGTATAATGATATATATATAATGATATACATGTATATCATGATATATATGTGTATCATGATATATATATATAGTGATATGTATGTATGTAATGATGTATATATATAATGATATACATATATGTATATATATAAATATGATGATATATATATATATATGATGATATAAATATAATGATGTATATATATATAATGATGTATATTTAATGATATATATATATAATGATGTATATTTAATGATATATAATATATATATAATGATGAATATATATAAAGGTATGTATATAATATAATGATTTATATAGATAAAATGACATTTATATAATGATATATATATAATGGTGTATATAATGATATATTAATATAATGATATATATATATAATGATATATATATATAATGATATATATATATGATGATATATATATATATATAATGATATATATATATATGATGATGGTGATATATATATATATTTAATGATCATGATATATATATATATATTTAATGATATTTATATATATAATGATATATATATATATATATTTAATGATCATGATATATATAAATTTAATGATATTTATATATAATGACACATGTATATATATAATGATATATAATGACAAATGTATATATATATAGAGATAACGATATATATATATATACATATGTACATAATGCCATTTTTATATAATGATATACATATATATATATATACATATACATGTATCATATGTGGGTTTCATGGCTTTCAATGGAGATGTCAATCAAATACTCGTCTGAATTATGAGATATATCTGGATGTACTGGAATATGATGGGTGTGTGACTGAACATGCCCTCTGATCATTTAACATCGCTATGGTATAGATGGCCCATCTATCGATGATTTTGCTGATTTACCGAACTTAAAAGTGACTATTTTGTATGTCTATGTTAAAGTATCAGAGGGTAATGTTTGTAGAATACGGAAATGTTGCTGCATGCCATTGTATGTTATGATTAGATAAAATCACCAACAGATGTTTATAAAATATAGTAACAAATAGCTATATATATACATATGTTATATATATATGTCGCGTATATTCTGGTAGCAAATGCATATATAATTGTATGGATAGATTGGGATATATATATATATAATGTGTGGCATGAAACTTATACAGTTGTATATGTACTATATATAGTATACTATATATATATATATGTACTATGGTGAAATTCTGGCCAGAAACTCTATTCTTTAGGCTCCGCAGCTGGTGCGCCAAGAAACTCCTGGCCGTTGAAGATCAAGTCCTGGGCCCGTCCAAGCGTCACACATCGAGGAAAGAAAAAACGCTCATCAAAGACCTTCTGGTTGGTGGTTTCAACCCCTCTGAAAAATATTAGTCAGTTGGGATTATTCTTCCCAATATATGGGAAAATAAAAAATGTTCCAAACCACCAACCAGCCTTTAGTATGGATACTAACTTGTACATAGCCAGCCAGTCGTCTGAGGTCTTTTTGTGAAACATTCCAACCTCACATGGGTCACGGAATTCATCCCCATGACATACAGCAGCCCCATCCAAGTGTCTGCTTCATTGATGAGGGCCGCAACGTCGATATCGGCTTCATGTAGAGCTTTCCTGGGCAAAAAAAAGGGGCTGAAAAGTTAAAGCTTTGCATTCGGTGATAGAGTAGTGGGAAATATCCATTCTGAATGGGAATTGTCCATTTCACAAATGGTGATATGGGATATTCACAAATGGGGAATTTCCATTTCCAAGTTTATAGATAGGTTCATCCTCAGGTGTCCAGCTCGAGAAATGCAAAGTGGCAACACAAAAAACATAATATGTGCAGAGTTAGAGGGGCCTAGACAACTTTGCGAAATCAGATGTGTCCCAATTCAAATTTCGTATGGCAGATACAGGTCACGCTATTCACGCAAATCAAATCTTTTTGGGGGGTGCAAGCGGTGGGTTTATAGTCCCAACTCTTTTCTTGGGCCAATGATCAGAAACCCTTTAAGGGTTCTCCTTCAAAGTTCGGAGAAGAAAGCAATGATTCCGAATGATGATCTGAGATTATCTGATTATCCTTTGTTCTGTCACAATAGACCATCATGCTCCACGGATTGGTGTATTTCTCCAAATTGGGGGACCACAACCAAAGCCAAGAAATGGCGAAGAGGCCTGAATCCTGGATTTGCGTCAGCTAAATGGATCCAAATGCTGCATTTTCCCATTGAGAAAGTGTAAAAAAATCACCCCATGAAACACACATCATGTAATTTAAAACAGCCCCACTTTGAATCAGAAGCCCGGACCAAGGGTCACCATGTTGGGCTGTTTCACCAGCTTTGCAAACTCCTCGATGTCAACCTGAAGTGAGTTCCCCTCGAAGTGCTTGGCTTCAGCCAGGATTCTTATCATCAAAAATGGAGGTTCTAACCATTGACATTCGGATATGTCATGATGTTTTGAATATCATGAGATGTACAGTAATTGGATATATCACCAACATTAACCAACGATATGAGATTTCGGGGTTTGTCCCAAAATTGAGTTTACCCCGATGATAACAATCCAGCGGAACAACAGAGGTACCCCCTGGACAAACCCATTTCTTCCGAGAATCATGGCGACACCCAAAAAGCCTGACCCCTATAGTGATCTATAGTAACATGGCAATGCAAGGACCATAGAAAACCCAACTTTCGATATGTACGAGTACATCATCTACAGTTAAAGCCCTTTACCAATTGTAAATGGTTATAACTGTGGTTATACATTCCATTAATGGGAACTGACTTAAAACTTGGAAAGGGCCACAACTGTAGAAGTCAAATGGGTGATATTCCATTGCTTTGTTTGATGAGGAGGTCTCTTCAACAACCATTGGCTGAAAGACTGTCCCGTCCCGAGACAAGGCGAAAACTGGCAGCAGCATGCTGCAACACATACATAAATATAGCAGCCCAAAATGATAGAAAGGTGTTTCCAGAAGGTTACGGATTATATTTAATACGTATTTCCAGGTTTCCCACTTCTCTATCCATGTGGGTCGCTGTATAAATGATATCCAACTGGCCACCGTATTTCTTCAGATGGAACACGCCCAGTCATCCATCACTTGTGACATATTTACTGTACGTATCTGTACGTACTTGATGTTGATCACCCAGTACTCTTGGTATTTATCGAAGGAAGTTTAGAAGTCAAACTTCCGACAATATGGACAGATGAAAAGCAGAGCAGGGAAGAGGCAGAGAGAAGAGAAAGATTAGAAGAAAGAAGAATAGAAGAGAAAGAGTAAGAAGAAAGAAGATGGAGATGCGCGAAAAGGTAGGAAAGTCGCCAAACACTGTGTTTTTCCAATGATTTGGGGCTCCGGAGGGTCGAAAAGTAGGCTCGCTAAAGCGGCGGGTGCGGAGCCAGCTGGCTAGATGAGAGATGAAAAATTGCACGCCGTTGTGGCGCGAAGCACATTTGCAAGTCAAAATGTACAAAACACCTGGTGCTCGGAGCACTTTTGGAAGTTGAGATGTCGAAAAAGTGCACGCCGTTGTGGCGCGAAGCACATTTCCAAGTCAAAATGTACAAAACACCTCAGCTCCGGACCACTTTTGGAAGTTGCGATGTCGAAAAAGTGCACGCCGCTGTGGCACGAAGCACATTTCCAAGTCAAAATGTACAAAACACACCATTGTCGGACCACTTTTGGAAGTTGCAATGTCGAAAAAGTGCACGCCGCTGTGGCGCGAAGCACATTTCCAAGTCAAAATGTACAAGACACCACATGTTCGTGCCACTTTTGGAGGTTCGGATGTTGAAAAAGTGCACGTCGTTGTGGCGCGAAGCACATTTCGAAGTCAAAATGTACAAAACACCACATGTTTGCGCCACTTTTGGAGGTTCAGATGTCGCTTCGCTTCACTACACGACACTACACTACATTACACTACACTACACTCCACTACACTACGCTCCACTACACTACACTACATTACACTACACTGCACTACCTTCCACTACACTTCACTACATTACACTACACTCCCACTACACTACAACTACAACTACAACTAAGCAACTACACTCCACTACAATACACTCCACTACACTAAATTACACTACACTACATTACATTACACTCCACTACACTACACTACATTACACTACACTACCTTCCACTACACTTCACTACATTACACTACACTACACTCCACTACACTACAACTACAACTACGACTACACAACTACACTCCACTACACGAAATTACAATACACTACACTACATTACACTACACTCCACTGCACTACACTACATTACACTACAATACACTGAATGACACTGCACCACAGATAGACGGGTAGACAGATAGACAGATAGATAGATAGACAGGTAGACAGCTAGACAGATAGGCAGATGAAAGAGAGAGAGAGAGAGAGACAGAGAGAGAGAGAGAGAGAGAGATAGATAGATAGATCGATAGATCGGTAGATAGAGAGATAGATAGATAGATAGATCGATAGATCGATAGATAGATAGGTAGATAGGTAGATAGGTAGATAGGTAGATAGGTAGATAGGTAGATAGGTAATTAGATGAAAGAGAGAAAGAGAGAGATAGATAGATCGATAGATAGATAGATAGATAGATACATAGAAGATAGGCTGGTATGTAAGTAGATAGTCAGAGAAAGAGAGAGAGAGAGAGGAGACCTCAAGCACCTTTCGGTCCATCAGTGGATTCGCTTTGCCATCCCTGATTCACAACAACCAACCTCTCCTATAGGTTTCCTATTTTTGAAACTTCCGCCACCGCCTTGTGCGGTACTACTGGTACTAATTGGTGGTTTCAACCCCCTTGGAAAATATGAGTTCGTCAGATTGGATCATCATTCCAACTACTGGGGAAATAAAATTCATGTTCCAAAGCACCAACCAGTATATGACTTATATGTCATCTCTTGGTTGAATCCCAATGCTTGTTGCTTGAATCCTAAACTTCCCCTACTCTTGTTGGTCAAATCCCTATGAAATGATCCGAAATTACGTCGTTGTTTGTATTCGCCTGGGACCCTACAAAAGATAGAACAGTAAAAAAAGATCGAAACATGATCTTTCCATAGGGGATTCCCCAAAAAATGGCTAATTACCCCAAACCATTGGTTTTCCTTTTCCCATTGATCATAAACAATTTTGGATGATTTTGGGGTACCCCATGACTAAACCTCATCTCTCTGCAGGCCAACGGCATTTCCGTCGTTGTCCAAGTCCATTGCATTGAAGATCTTCAGCGTCCTTGGCATAGCAAGTCACTGGGACGGCCAAGATCAATAGATTTGTTTCAGGGACATTTCACAGGAAAGTGGATGGTGTTTGGTGTTTACCTCCAACACACACACACACATACACATATTATATATACAGTATATATATACACATATTGTCCATATTTATGTGTACATGTATATTATACATATATATATATATGCATTATATAGTAGGGGGTGCGGGTTTCCCTTGTCCCTCGAAGCAACTCTGCTAGGGAGCGACTAAAAAAAACAGGATCTTCACCCCCAAGAATCTCGGCTCTTGAAAGAAGAGCAACCACTGAATGACATTTAGGAACGTCAGTGAGTAGAATGAAACCAAGCCCAGAAAATCTTCATGGCTTTGGCTTGCTTGTGAGGGAAAGGTGTGCTTGGGGAACAAACATCCAAAATGGGATGACAAATGGATAAATTGCTGCGGTTCAATGGCGATAAAGTCCCAACACGCCTTGAGATTTAGGCTATGAAAATAAAAGGGTTTTATTGATAGAACAATAGAGATTTCATCGGCATTATATACATAATTATATATATATAATTATATATATAATTATATATATATGTACTGTATATGGGTTTGCATGTGTGAATCCCAAGATGAGATGATGAATTGATGAACTTGTTGGTTGGACCACCCTCGATCGACATGTCTGCACAGCAAGGCGTACTCAGGGATGATCTGAGTAATGCTGGTCCCACCCATCTATCCCATCAAAATAAATCACCCCCGTCTGATGATCTGAATGACGACAACCACAGGCTTGTTAGAACCTGGGTCACCACAATAAGCATCCTGCCGGGAGTTCCCACTTCATGAACAGCCCAGACATGCCCAGGCACTGTTCATGAAGGAATGCCGTGGTAATTGCATCATTCTCCACCTGCGACAGCACCTGCAAGACCTCAAAATCGGAGCGAGCTATGACCCCTTACCCCTTGCAGGCTGCTCTGCTCGACAGTTCGAACTGGGAGCGTTGGCTTACGAATCCCCACAAAAATATTGACTGAATTCCAATTCATACAGTATAATCCAAAGCTGGGGACATGTTTCATCATTTTTGGTCAAATCTTAGAACATCTTCACCCACAACACTGGGTTTGGGCACCTCCCACTCCGACTTTGATTCACATCATGGTCATGATCCCCACCCAATCAGGGAGCACCATGGATCTCCATCACCTCTGTTTTTCGCCAAAATCTGGCAATGGAAACAGAAAAAAAACATAAAACAAGTGTGCAACAGGAACCCATTCCAGTTCATTCATGATGATAATCCTCAATGAATATTGGAATAGATTGGATACGATGACCCCTACCATCATTAATCAACCATGGACCTACCATCATTTATCAACTCTATTCCCACATGTTTGATTGTAAAAACATGGTAAAACGATTTAAAACTCCTAATTTATAAAAGATTGCTAAATCCCATCAAAAAATCCTTTCTGAAACCGTGTTTCCCAGTTGCCCTCAACAACTCATGGCTCATCAATAAACAAAAATGGCCGCGCCTGCACCAAAACGCCCACCAACATGTTCATCACGGTCAGCGGGGCCCTGGGGATGGATGGGAAAATCATGATTCCAGGGTTCGGTCGCAGTGAGGTCGCTATCATTTACCCAGTTTAATGGATATGGAATCTGGAACTTCGAACCAATCAAAATTGGGAAATTGTGGAACTTAGAACTCATAGAAATTCGGAATAGTTGACTGATTGGAACCTTCTTTGGAAACCATACAATAATGAAAATGATAATAATAATGATAATAATAATAATATAAGTACAATCATGTATATACAATAATGACAAAAACAAATAACAAACAAACAAACAAACAAACAAACAAACAAAACAATAAAACAATAAAACAATAAAACAATAAAACAATAGCAATCATCATAACTTATAAGAATGATTCAAGTGGAGTATTAATGATAGTGTCGAAATGATGTTGCAATGTTGGTTTATCTTTCGGGTCCTCCCTTTGTTGGAGCAACCCCACCTTCAGTCACATGTCCCCCTCAACTGCCCCCAAAAAAAGGGGCAGCAGCATCTGAGGAGCTGACAGTAATATAAAAGTCATTAGCAAGATGCCATAGATGAAACTCTCCTCAGCTCCGCGCTCGTGGTTTTTGAGGATCTTGAATCAGTTGCGATCAGCCCAACATGGAAAAATGTTTGGGTCACGTTCCATCAAGTAGCTTGCAAACTTGGAAAGATGACACCAGAGAGGATCGAGCAGTGAGAAACACAAGAAGCTGCGGGCCCTTTTGAGGTTAGGTGCGTGTCCAATAATACCCCATAGATTGCCATAGATATTGAAAAATACTGAAAACTGGGAAACAAATAAAAATAATCAGGAAACCGACTTCTATCTGTTTGCAATCCACCAATTTTATCTCTTGAAGGAAAGCGCTCGATCGACCTCCCAGCGCAAGTGATCCAAGATGATCCAAGTTGTCTTTGGGTTGGTGGATTCCATCACTCAAACAAAACTTGCACGGAAATTCTGTCCTGGGCCCTGGGTCACATTTTCTCTGTGACCCACAGAAGAAGATTGGGAGGTCATGTTTGATTTACATTTTGGGTGCTTTTCTGGAGGACCGCCGCGACCTGAAAGTACCCGCAAGAAAGTAATGAGGTAGTATTTGGTTGTGAAGGAAGTTCTGTAATTCTGAACTTATGAATTGACAAACTGACCTTTGGATTCATTTTGAGCGTGTGCACCCAAATAGCCAGTGGGTTGAACTTGGGTCTTTCATGGCTACTCCCTGCCAAGCATCTTGGAACATCATCTCTGCCAAGATGGAAATGTTGTCGAAGAAGCATCCGCTGTAGAATAGAGTGAACATCGATTGCGTCAATGTGAGGAAATATGTCTCAGCCGACCAGGAGGCGACCCCTTTACAGATTTCCAAGATTTTTTTCCAAGGATACCTGGTTTGTCTGGTTTGGGAAGTGTTTTGTGGAAATAAGCCCCATTGGTTTAACCGAAAAACCTCAGCTGTTGGTTGTTTAACCATTGGTTTAACATTTAACATGGTTTAACCTATACATTCACCACTGGTTTTCATCTTTTACTATTGTCGAAAACCATGTTAAACTAATATAGCTATGGTGAATGTGTTTCGGTTAAACCATGTTAAACCAATGGTGTTTCACCATGGTTTATACAACCAATGGTTTCACCATGTTTAACCTATACTGGCGTCAGTTCCACACCGATCAACGCCATACGTTCCGAATGCTTAGCCGAGTTGCCTCGCCAACTTTCGTGTCCTGACCGAAAAAACACAGATTGATCCAATACTGGGACGATACTGGGAGGATACCCGGCCTGGCAATGACTAACAGTTTGCTATTACAAATGGCCAATTGATAGTTGATAAAAACCCAATAGTTATGTGATGGTGATTGTCCATCCCAATAAATAGATGGTGATAGTTAACCATAGTTATGTGGCTGTGAACAAAAGAGGATACAGTAAGTCTGTTGCCAGTTGCCTACTCTCACCTACTCTCCAATGGAAATTGGAAGACCAATTTGTAGATGGAAACGTCACTTGAGCTATTCAAATGTGGCAATGGAAAACCAATTTGGAGATCTGTGTTCCCGTGGAAATTGGGAACATCCAATTGCCAGGTTTGGTTAGGGCTGCAGGTCGATGGAGCCGTAAGAAATCAAGCACCCCATGAAGGTCCCATGTCCCATCCGTCCCATCGCCTTGCAAAGGTGTTTGAAGGCTATGCCATAAACCTAGGCTCCAAGCTGCTGGACATGGTGCTGTTTGGAGCCTTCCACTGGCTGATGGCTCACAAGTCAAAAAAAAAACTGTTGAGATTTCCTAATACATTCAATCTTGGTCAGCAAAATTGAGGAGATCAACTGGGCAATGTGTGGAAATTGATGGGATATATGTGTATTATATGTATATACAATATTATATACATATCTATTCTATTCTTATATATATATATATACATATATTAAGTTATTATATGTATATATATATATAGTTATTGTATATACCCAAATAGTATATTTTACAACCAACATTATACTATACATATAAGTGTATATTATATATAATTGTATATATTATATATAAGTGTATATATATTATATATAAGTGTATATTATATATTATATATATGTATATATTACATATAATTGTATATATTCTATATGATTGTATATATTATATATAATTCTATATTATATATAATTGTATATTATATATATTTAAGTGTATATTATATATATTTAAGTGTATATTATATATATAGTTGTATATTATATATATAGTTGTAGATTGTATATAATTGTATAGCATATATAATTGTATGTGTTGTGCATATATATAATATTATATATTATATCTATAGTATTATATGTTATATCTAATATATATAATATAACATATAATATATAATATATAATATATAATATATAATATATATAATATATAATATATAATATATATATAATATAGTGTATTATACATATACATATATTTATATTATATCATATATCATATAATATATATTATTAATATAATATATATATTATATTGTATATATATTATATTATATATATATATTATATATTATATATATATATTATATATTATATATATATATTATATATTATATATTATATTTATATTATATTATATATATTATATGTTATATATTATATATTATATATTATTATATTATATATATATTATTCTATATTATATATATTATATTATATATTATATATTATATTTTATATGTATTATATTATATATATAAAAAATATAATATATAATAATATATATATTATATTATATATATTGTATATATTATATTATATATATGATGCATATAATATTATATATATGATGCATATTATATATATGATGCATATTATATAGATGTATTGTATATTATATATACATACATATATCATAATATGACTATGAAGCACTGGGATAATCATCCGTGAATCTGTGGCACGTCTGTTTCTCAACAGAAATTCGAACTCCTCGTCCCAGCGCGAGGCGAGGCATGCGAGGCACATAGATCAAAAGCCCGAGGATGCAGAGAGTGAAGAAGACAGAGCCTCCAGCCATTTGAGCAGTGTTCAAAATCCCTCTGTCATTCCATTATACTAGTTGTTTTATAGGGATTCCCCTATTGGATTATTGTAATCCCCAATATATTGGGTAGTATAATCCCCTACAATCATCAACCAACCAGGGTTGAGCAGCCACTGCTCATTTGTTGGGCTCAAGGGATATCATCCAGCGTCATGGCGGATCATCCATGGATTTCTAGGGGTTTTTGATGGTTCTTGATTGCCAGGACCCCCCGGCAAGGGACCCCTGGGACCCATACTCCCATAGTACTCCCACAAGAATCATCAGCATCATCAGCCAGGGGGTCCCTATAAATTCCATGGATGTAGTTGGGATCTCCCATGGCAATCATCGGTGTCTGCAGGATGAACGTATGCGGGGGGGGCAACAATCAACAATAAGATGTAATACTACTATATATATATTATAATATTATACATGATTATATATATGGATATGTTATGTATGCTACACATGCTATATATGCTACATATGCTATATATGCTCTATATATATAATTATATATATACATGTTCAACCAACAATATGTGGGTGCCACGGGGATATGATACCACACCATCCATCAGTGTGTCCAACTAGGCGCAGCTGAGGAACGGGATGCCACTCCTAAGCCCTTCACCAGGATGATCACTTCCGGCATGTAACGCAGCAGCCGCACCAGCCGCACCATGCGGAAGAATCTGAGCAGCAAGAAATGCCGTGAGGAACGAGAGAAAACACCCCTTTTTTCGGGAAGAGGCTGCAAAAAATGGTTGGAAAAGGTGTGAACACCGCCATTGTTGGGCAATCTTTGATATGTTTGGGGCAATTTGGAGGAACTTTTCTGCCCCTTGATAATGCATGTGTCGTCTCAAAAACTTCTTTTGTCCAAGCGACTTGAAGATCCGCGTCAGGCGCAGGAATGCCGGGTTGAAGGTTGAAGGTGTTGTCGATTCCAAGGCCAATTGGATAATCGCCAAAGCCCATATTTCCTCGGTTCGGGGTTTAGCAGCTCAGCATAGCTGGCATAGCTCAGCACTTGAGAGACGCAGCCCATCCGATCTGCCAAGGCTCCAAGACCATCAGAATGACCAAAACCTTGGAGGTTTAGTCAACATCCAGCTGAGAACTAAAAACAGCATCTGATGGTTATCTTTTTAGAGTACCAACAAGCACTAAAGAAAAACTACCGGTTTTAAGACCTGCAATTCACTCCTGAAAGAAACAGCAGCTCTTCAAAGTGCCACATGGCCGGTAGGACCTGAATCTTTCTTGCAATCATCTGAAAAAAAAACACCGCACTGTACACCGTATTCCCAGAATCCCCAATCAAGGCTTTGTCATTGGACCTCTGCTGCTCACATCCCTCCAGTCGTTGGAGCCAAGGCACCAAATCTACAACCCACTCCCAGTCTCGAAAGGCTGAGATCTTCTTTTCATAAGCTCCGAAGCGTACCGACAGTTCCAGGACAAAGAAGAAGCAAAACAAATTCTCCTTGGGAAATCTTGGACATTGCTGGCAGAATTG